TATCTATCTGTCTATCTGTCTGTCTGTCTGTCTGTCTGTCTGTCGGTCTGTCATCTATCTATCTGTCTGTCTGTCTGTCTATGAAGCTGTAATGTGATTATGCAACCATTATTACATGTTTTTCCATCTCCAGAGAGACGTCCTCCAGGCCCATCTTGATAAATGGCCTCTACGTTGATGTTGTAAGGAGTGTCTGGCTGCAGGTTTTGCAAGATGACAGAGTTTCTGTTGCCAGGGACACTTGTCTATGTGAAAAACAGCAGGACAAGATCAGCTTTCTAGCATGCATTCAGTCAAAGAACGTCCATGGGCTCGTAAAATCATGATTATAAATACCTGATGTTAACATATAATTATGCTGTCCTTCATAATCACTACTATAAAATACCACTTACAATAACATCCATGGGCTCGTAAAAATACCTGATGTTAACATATATTGCTCCTGTCCTTTATAATCACTACTATAAAATATAACACCACTTACAAACTCCTCAATGGGATCTCCAGTGGTGGGTGCATAGCCAATGCGGTACTGCAGCACGGGTCCTTCTGCATGCTCCCAGCTGACAGACAGTGTGCTGGTGGTCGGATCATACACACGCAGGTTCCTGGGGCCGCCGCGGGGCACTGCAATCACATCAACAGAAATTATCTCAAAATCATATTTTTAGAAGAAAAGACATTTTGTCTGCTGTTTGTGCCCCTATAACTTACTACTCATATAATTAACCAGCACACTGAACTTTTTTGGATACAGTAGATTTGACAGTGTTTAGTTTATAATGCAAAGGTTTTATGTTTAAAATTAAACATTCATTTTCATTTTAAAAGTTTTTCATTAGAATATCTGCTAATTTTTTATTTCATCATCATTACATCACCACAATTAAAATGTAACATTATACTCGCTCTCTCTCTCTCTTTATGTTTAAAATTAAACATTCATTTTCATTTTAAAAGTTTTTCATTAGAATATCTGCTAATTTTTTATTTCATCATCATTACATCACCACAATTAAAATGTAACATTATACTCTCTCTCTCTCTCTCTCTCTATATATATATATATATATATATATAGTATAATGTTACATTTTAATTGTTATATTTACAGTATAATGTTACATTTTAATTGTGATGACAAATGTTATATACACAATATATACAAATGTTAAATTGTAATATATAATGTATATAAAAAAAAATTCTAATGACGGAATTCCTCGTCTAAAAAATAATGATTTTCTCCTTCTGACATCATTTGAGGAAGATAAATCATTCAATCTTTTTAGGTTCATAGTTCTCTGCCATGGGAAAAAATCATTGTACATTTGTTTCTTCCCCTAGAGAAATGTTTTTGGCACAAATGTAGGGTGGTGCAATACCATTGGCTAGTAAAGCCATGTGATGAAGTTGCAATAATGTAGCAGGGTTAGGGTTCGTAACAATAAATAACTATTTGTACTGTAAGGCCATAACTCCATATTTTGGATTGGGGGTAGTAACTCAAAAACTGGACAAAACATTTTTTTTTTTTTTTTATATGATAACAAATTACAACCCTCATACTTTGGGTTAAGTTGGAAAATTAGATTTCCTGAGATTTCAGCTGTTACCTTTATGTCTGAAATGATTAAATAACAAATACAAATGCTGACATTTCATTGCACAATGTCACTGTGTCCCGAAAATGAGCCAAAAACACATAACAAAGGACCTCTGATGGAGGCGTCCTGCAGTCAGACTCACGTGTTTTTCCATTATCTGACACAGAGGAGCCCTCGCCGTCAGCATACAGAGCCACCACACTCACAGCGTAGCCTGTGTCTGAATCGAGCTGCTGCAGCAAGGCAGTGTGGGTGTTCCCTGGAACGAGCACCTAACCCAGAATTTAAAAAAAAGTAATAATTAACCACAAAGGACACACAAGCTGTCTTTGTTAACTAGCGACATTTATGATACTTTAAATACTTTTACACTGATTAATGAGTGAAGCTCACAAAGAGAATATGCAGGTCACATTTCAGCATAAAATCAAAAGGAAGATGAATGATTATATTACGTTATATTACATTACAAAAATAACGACTTTATTCCACATTTTCGAAAGTTACGCGAGTTCACGACAGTATCATGACGCAAGCGTGTGGCGGCGCTGACCCAGATACGGCACCGCCACACGCTCGCGTCATGAAACTGTCGTTAATGCACGTAACTTTCGAAAATGTGGAATAAAGTCGTTATTTTTGTTTTCTTTGCGCAAAAAAGTATTTTCGTAGCTTCGTAACTTTACAGTTGAACCACTGATGTCTCACGGACTACTTTGTCGATCATATTGGTACTTTTCTGGACCTTGAACGTGGTAGTTACCTTGCTGTCTATGGGAGGGTCAGAGAGCCCTCAGATTTCATCAAAAATATCTTAAATTGTGTTCCGAAGATGAACGAAGGTCTTACGGGTTTCGAACAACATGAGGGTGAGTAATTAATGACAGAATTTTCATTTTTGGGTGAACTAACCCTTTCAGTTTAGGGACCAATTCTCACTATTAACTAACTATTAACTATGACTGCTGCCTCAATAATTGCTGCTTATTAATAATTAGCAAGGTAGTTTTTAAGTTTAGGTATGCGGTTAGATTAAGAGATCTAAAACTTGGTCATGCAGAATAAGGCATTAATATGTGCTTTATAAGTAGTAATAAACAGCCAATACGCTAGTAATATGCATGATAATTAGCAACCAGTTCATAGTGAGAATTAGTCCTTAAAATAAAGTGTTACTGTTTAATTGATGTTAATTCATTTACATAAGGATTGAGTTCACATTTGAGGCAATAAAGATACAACTAAATGAGCACATTTTACTACAAATTGTACTGGTCACTGAAATCTACCATTTATTCTTATCGGATTCTTATTTTGTAAATCTCGGGAAGACAATCATTCTGTCCAGCCATGTTTTACAACAAATACTCCAGTGTTGTATTTGAGAGGAGTGCTTCATATTGAGGCTCAAAGCAAAAAAAGCAAAAAATCTTTATGCAAAATCAACATTTAATCTCTTATGATCACACACAGCACAACTGCTAGTGTAAAACCTCTGATATATTACACCCTGAGAAAGAAGTTTGTCTGTTTTTCTACAGATGACCTCTTGCACTTACTGATGTTTGTGTCACCACTGATTTCCAACCCAACCATTAGCGATCACTTACTCCGCCAATGCAGTGGAAACATTCTTTTGATGTGTTAATAGTGTAGCAGTTGTAGCAATTCGAGTGAATGATGTGCTGACAGTGTCGTGCAATCACCTCCTTTCACTGCTCTTCACAACGCCAGGTCAGGGGGTCACCAACTTCCCAATTAATGACACGGGAAACTCCCTTTTTGCGTTCATGACAACACTATCCTTTATTTTGAAGAATGAGGCCAGGGGACAAATGATTGCACTTCTGGAGTTTTTCAAGGTTCCAGTGGAAAAGGTAAAAAAATCCATCGTAGTTCGGAGGTTAAAATGAAAGCGCAGAGAATTTGGAAAACTGGCTATAATCACGGAAAAGGTTGTGCGTCCATAACAATATTCCACAAAGCCTTTGTGGCTGCAGATAAGAAGCTAGTTCTGTTAAGACTGAATGTTTAAACTCTGTTTTCCTCAGTGCTGAAATAAAACAGGTTTGGGCTCAAGATTTCCCACAGCTGCTTTCTTTATGCAAGGATCTGACGACAATAAAAGTTATTTATGGATTTCGGAGCTTTGTGAAAATTCCTCACAGGCAATGAAGTTCATGTGAGAACGAGGTTGCACGACATTAAAAACACAAACATCTTTGCAGAGGGACAGACTGCAAACAGACCGTTACGCTCAGAAGGTTGACAGACTGACATTTGTTGTGGCAGTACTCTCATGCGAGCCTAACGGCGAGGACTTACAGATTGAGCGGAACGGGTTCCAGAGAGGGGGGTGTAGGCGACGCGGTACTGCAGCACATCTCCAGAGGCCGGCTCCCAGCGCACGTTCAGGGTGTTTGTGGTGGGGTTGTAAACCCGGATGTTCTTGGCAGGGGTCCGCACCACTGTTTCAGACAGGAGCGGGAGCAGCATCATAAAAACAAAGACAGTAAAAGGGGTGAGCGTTTAGAGTGGTTAATGAGGTACAGAATGTACAACTACTTACAAGACCCCGAAAAACAGCATTTCCTACGAGATGACACATACAGGTCTAACCACAATAGTAGTTTCAATGTCAACTCCCACAGTTACAACAACATTTCAAAAGGGTGAAGAGAGATGTCTCATTTTTGATTAAAATGGCCTTTAAAATAAAACACTTGATAGTCAGCTTTTGGGTTAGTCTTAAGAAATATGGCAGCTTTGTGGCATATCCAGAGTGGATTTCACCCTAAAATCAAAAGAAAGACATATCTTTAGCTTTTGTTCGATTTTAGCTGCAATGTTTTATCCACAGTAAATTGAGGCTTTTGTTTTTTAGTATACACTGGTCAATTTTGGCTTTCTTTTTCAAGTGCTGTTTCAGATTAAGTGGGAAGAAAATATCCAAAATACATGTGTAAGTGTTTATTTTATTGCACTTTATCTGTTTGCATCTGTAGCTTTCATTTATATATTTATTTATTTATTTCCAGAGGGGTGTGTTCATATACCATTCACCTGATCTTACACATTTTATTTTATTCCTAAAAACATGGTAACATTTTTTTTTTTTCTAGTTGTTGACAGTATTTTCTGATTTAAATTAGATATCCAAAACCTTTTCCTCTAATATGTTATCAAAATAATAATAAAAAATCTGTTCTGGAAATGTATGCACATTAGTGCATATTTATTTAGATAATGCATAAAATGAGCACATTTAAACATAACATTTCAGAAAACTTGTATGCTAACAATTGTTTGCCATTCTTAATGAAATCAATCAACTGGGGAATTAAAATAATATCTATTATTGAAATATTTCACCCTGTTCACCTGGGGTGACTTGCCTTAACAGTAAATGTGCACATATTTCATTAACACATGTCATGAATCATGACATGGTGCATGAAAACAAAAAGTAGAACAAGACAAGCTTTAGATTTCCACCAGCAAAAACCCTGATACCAGATTTGAACCAAAACAAACACTTGCATTAACATGGCACAGAAAACTGGAGACCAAAGTAGCTCAGATGATGGGAAGCAAACCACCACGTTATTCCCTGGTGGAAAAACAATGACGCCAACAAAAACCTGTTAGTTTGACTCTGAAAGAGGAGCATTGAACTGACAGCAGTAAATAAGGGTGCTTTTATGTCCTTGCACCTCCCTGGGCTTTCCATTTGGTGAAATAGATTGTCCGTAGGCCTCGCACCAGCATCTCCAGTCATTACACCCCATAAAGAAGGCTCACTAAGCCCAGCCTGGAGTCACATTTATGGGGTTGCCAGCACATCGGCATTCCTCCCTTAGTGATCAATCCAATAAAGCTAATCTTTGGACAAGTCTCTGAGATTCTATTTATAAGTGCAAAACTTTAATGTTAAAGCCAGCAGACTGTACTTTGCATTTTCTGGATTGAAAACTTTGGCCAAATGGTTCCTGTTACTGGGGCGTATATGATGGATGAGTATGGGAATAATGCTCAAATAAGAAAAGGTTGCATCAACTCACAGGTTTTTCCGTTCTCCGACATGCGCTTGCCCTCTCCAGGAGCGTATACTGGCACCACTGTTACTGTGTACTCAGTATCAGACTGCAGGTTCTTCAGAACAGTACTGGTGGTGCTTCCAGGAACTTGGATCTGAGAGAACAAAAAAAGAGTTTTGTATTTTCTTGTCTCTGCAAAAACGCACAATGCTTGGGATGGTTGAGAGAGTGTGACTATGTGGTTTCTAAAGTGTTATATGTGTATTTAGTACATTTCTATGCACCAGTCTTAAGTCGCTTGGGTATATTTTTAGCAATAGCCAAAAAAACATTGTATGGGTCAAAATGATCGATTTTTCTTTTATGCCAAAACTCATTAGGATATTAAGTAAAGATCATGTTGCATGAAGATATTTTGTAAATTTCCTACCATAAATATATCAAAACTTAATTTGATTAGTAATATGCATTGCTAAGAACTT